CATACCGACTGAGTCCGACCGAACTGACAGACATGAAAAAACAGATAGAGTATCTACTGGACGGACAACTGATCCGCCCATCCACCTCTCCCTACAGTGCACCAGTTCTCTTCACTCCAAAACTAGACGGCAGTTTACGGATATGCATCGACTACCGCGCACTGAACGAACAGACAGTTAAAAACAAATACCCCATACCGCGCATAGACGACCTACTGGACCAAATGCGTGGTGCAACAGTCTTTTCGAAGCTGGACCTACGGTCGGGTTACTGGCAGATCAAGATGGCAGACAACTCGGTCCACAAGACGGCGTTCCGTACCAGATACGGCTCCTACGAATACTTGGTGATGCCGTTCGGACTCTGCAACGCACCAGCAACGTTCCAGGCGGAGATGAATCACATCTTACGGCCCCTGTTGGACGAATGCGTGGTGGTGTTCTTGGACGACATTCTCATCTACTCCAAGAACATGAAGGAGCACGTGGAGCATCTACATAAGGTGTTCGAGATCCTGCAGAAAAACAATTTCTACGTGAAGTTGTTGAAGAGCGACTTTGCAGTGAAGAAGGTGCAGTTTCTCGGGCAGATGGTGAGTGCCAAGGGCGTACACGTGGACCCGCGGAAGATCGAAGCCGTCAAGAAGTGGAAAGTACCGGAGAACGTGAAGGAGTTGCAGCAGTTCCTAGGCTTCGCCAACTATTACAACAGGTTCGTGCCGTAGTATGCTAAGATAGCAGCGCCACTGACCGACCTACTGAAAAAGAATACGCCCTACAAATGGGATACTCCTCATCAGCAAGCCATGGAGCAGCTACAGACAGCACTGACTACAGCACCAGTACTCATCCTACCGGACCCAGACAAGGACTACGTAGTTGAAGCAGACGCTAGTGACCAAGCAGTCGGAGCAGTACTGATGCAAGATCACGGGAACGGTTTACAGCCTATCGCCTACCTCAGTAAGAAGCTACACGGAGCACAACTGAACTACCCCATACACGACAAGGAAGCCTTAGCCATCGTCGTAGCCTTCAAGGCGTGGAGGTGTTACCTAGAGGGAACCAAGACCACGGTCAATACTGACCAGTGCAGTCTCAAATACTTGAAGTCGCAGCCGACGCTCTCACGACGACAGGTGCGGTGGGTGGACTTCCTGGAAGCTCACTTCCACTACGACATCGTCTACAAGCCCGGGCTACACAACAAGGCAGACGCGTTGAGCCGCCCCGGACATGTAGCAGGCATCCAGCTCGACGGGATGAACCCTCTGCTCAAGGGTCTATTCCAACATGGGTATTCCGTGGACGCAGAGATCGCTACAGCGCAGACTAAGAAGCTGTTACAGTGGGAGAAAGACTTAGCTGTAAGGAAGGGCTCAAGAAAGATTTGGGTACCAAATTACGCCCCGCTACGGCAGATCCTATTGGAGGAGTTTGATGACGTACCATACGCGGGACACTTCAGGAGCAACAAGACGTTAGGGGGAATAGAAAAGTATTACTACTGGCCCGGGATGGCAGCAGACGTGCAGCAGTTCGTCACCTCTTGCGACACGTGCCAGCGGATGAAGAGTAGCAAGCAGAAAAAAGCAGGGTTACTTCAGCCTCTACCCGTACCGGAGCAGCCATGGCAGGTCGTTAGCCTCGACTTCATCACATGACTTCCTTCGACCTCACGGGGACATGACTCCATTCTCGTAGTGATCGATAAGTTCTCCAAAATGGGTCACTTCATCCCGACCAACGCCACAGCTACCGCTGAAGCAACTGCTCGCCTCTTCTTTGACCGCATCATCACCATCCACGGCATCCCCGCTACACTCATCTTAGACAGAGACCCCAAATTCACGAGTAAGTTCTGGAAGGAGCTCATGGGATTATTGGGGACTAAACTTGCGATGTCCTCAGCATACCACCCACAGACTGACGGACAGACTGAGCAACTCAATCAGGTGGTTGAACAATTACTGCGCACAGCTTGCAAAGACAACGTCAGCCACAGGGACACACAGTTACCGACCCTAGAGTTCGCTTACAACAACGCGGACATGACTTCGTGACATGCGGCCACAAGGAAAACTCATTTCTTCCTGTGTTACGGACGGGAACCACTCACACCACAGCAGCCAACCACACCGGCACACGTCCAAGCCGCACATGACTTCGTCACCACCATGCAGCAGCTATGGGAGAAGACTCATCGACGACTCACCACGATGCAGACCTCCCAGAAGCAGTATGCCGATCGTCAGCAACGTGATCACTCAGTAGCAGTCGGAGATCAGGTGCTTCTTAACACGCGCAACTTGAACCTGTCTCACCTACCTTCCAAGCTCCGGCCTCACTTCTGTGGTCCATTTCTCGTGGAGGCACAGGTGACACCAGTTACATTCCGCTTGCGCTTACCAGATACATGGAAGCTTCACAACGCTTTCCATGTTCAGCTAGTGAAACCCTACAAGGACCCTAACCAACAGTTCCAGGGACGGCAGCTACCGCCACTACCACATGTTCTTATACAAGATGAACCCGAGTACGAGATCGAGCGCGTTCTCATTCATCGGCGCCGCGGCGGCAAGGCCCTCGAGTTCCTGATACGCTGGAAGGGATACGACCCCACTGAGGACAGTTGGGTTGCAGATGCTGATATGGGCAACGCACTCCGTGCTCTCAAGGACTATCTTGTCAAGCGGGGTATTTCTCATGCCACCCAGCTTTGAGGGGGGGACGTGTGAGAGTACGACGGCTTATGCTGGCTTTGCTAGCTTGCCTAGACTTTATTATGCTGTATCTAGCTTGAGTTTTATTTATCATGCATAGATATGCTTGATTTCCTAGGTTAGGTGCATTCCTATATGTTATTATAGTTATAGCACCAAACCAGGTTACGTGTACCGAACTCAAGCCTATTCGGTTTCCACCGAATTGCTTTATACTGAGTTCGGGAAGATTCTGTTCGGGACGCTTCGCGACCCTCATAACATTCGCGCAACACCTGGGTAACTGGCCTTGTGTCGAGACTATATATAGCCTCGTGTTGTACCCAGGTGGATCAATCAATTACAATTCTCTTTTCTGAGCTCGATCCTAGATCCTCACAGGCGCCCTCCTGCTCGACGCCCTCCAGCCAGGCGCCCTTCAGCTCGGCGCCCTTGCAGTGGCCCCCGTGCCCACTGCTGTAGGTCGGCTGCATCCCCCACACACCCGACCACGAGGTCGGCTCAGCCCAAGCAAGGACGGTGCCTAACAACATTCCCGTTGACACTCCCTACACAGCGTCCCAAACATGGCAGCGTACAGCCAGCTATGGTGGACAAAGCGATGGTGACTGTTTCTCTTGGAGCTCTCCAGGCTCTGAAGGGAGGTTCTACAGCACTTGGGATGAAGGAGCTGGGTCGAGCTAGAGGTGTGGTATGCGGGGACAGGAAGCATCCTTCAGGAGCTTTGGGTATTTCTCATGGTGGATGTGTCAAGCAGGGGTTAGCAGCACGAAAGAGTAAGGGGCAGCTGGAGAGGGTTCGAACTTGACTTTTGGAGCATGCAAAACGCCTTTGAAGCCGTTTGACGCTCCTCCTGGTGGATGTGTCAAGAGAGGATCGATCAAGTCGATTCAGGATCAGGTTGGGTTGGCAGCATCACGGAACAAGAGAAATCAGGAGCATGTTTGGGGTGTGAGGGTTGGAGGGAGGGTGGATCCTTCAAGTATGACTAGGGTAGCAGCAATAAGGCCTCCTTGGAGGCCATAAGGGCTGGTGTACTGAGATAGTAATGGGATACATTAGATGAGAGACTCTGCATAGTTGTATCTGTGTACAATAGTTGAATATTTATTTTATGTTTTTTTTTACAATGTTGGGTTCAGCCAGTACTGTATTGGTGCATTCCTTGTTCTATGGGAAGAGGCTTCCACCCACACTTAGCCTTTTACCTTTTAGAACGCACCTAGGCTTGCATTGCCTAGGATTTTACCATCCATCAGTGGTTTCCATTGGTGCTCCTTAGCGTTTGGCTACAATTGGCATTGCTCTGTGATGAAATAAACTAGTCTGTCTCTTGCCATATGCAAATTGCTCAGTCAGTCTCATGAAACCCTGCCCCCTTTGCTGTAATGAGTGGCATCATGAACCAATACAAACAAGTGAATTGCCTATTACATAAATGCTGCACCACTAAATGCTTTTACAACACCACAAACACAACACAATCTGCAAACATGGCCCACCCATACGACCGGTTTCATCCTTCCCTTTTCCAGAAGTCACCACACACTAATCACTGAGTCACAACAGGTACAGGCAGGGCACACGCCCCTCTGATTCAACTCCACTCAATCTGGTCCCCTCTCACACACTAGGTGTCAAGAAGCTGACGTAGTTAAGAAATGGTTTAGGTAAGGCCTAGGCTTAGAAGCGTAGGCCAAGGTTGTCGAGAGGGTGGTGCAAGGAGAATGACGAGAAAGAAGGTACATATAGCAAACTAACAAAGGTGCACCACCAACAGTTTATAACTATAACTACAGTAACTACCGTAAGCAGGATATGACATAAATATAACTTTGACCCTAGGTGCGTTGTGCCCATTCTTGCCGCCTCATCACAACAAACAGTCGCCAGGCAAGGCAACAGCTGGAGGTGTCGACTAAAAATCAAGTCCTTCACGCAGGCGCGTGGACATGCATTCACAGCGGCCGCAGGCGAGGGTAGTCAAGCAGCATGTCGCGCTCTGTGAGGGTATCCTCATTGTCCTGTGGTGTCCAAAGCACTTCAACAGCCTGAAAGACAAGAGGTGAGGGTTGTAAGAGAGAGGGAGCAGGGCCGCAGGCGAGGGTAGTCAAGCATCATGTCACGCTCTGTGAGAGTGTCCTTGTTGTCCTGAGGCGTCCAGCGCATCTCCACGGCCTGGCTAACAGGTGGAGGGAGAGGGGACGGAATGAGAGTGCACATGGGTGGGAAGCAGGTAAGTCAAGCAGCAAGTCCTACTCCGTGAGAGTATCCTCATCATCCTGTGGAGTCCAGAGCACCTCCACCGCCTGGCAGACAGGGGGAGGGAGAGGGGACGGAATGAGAATGTGGGAACAAGGGTGGGAAGGAGGGTGATGGTGTGATGAGAATGAGGCAACATGTCGCTCTCTGCTCTGTTAGGGTATCCTCGTCGTCCTGGGCAGTCCAGAGCACCTCCAGCGCCTGCAAGGGGAGAGGGGGAACGGGAAAATCATTATGGAGGAAGTGGCGAGGGGGAATTGAGGGTAGCCAAGCAGCATGTCGAGCTCTGTCAGAGTGTCCCCATCGCCTTGGGAATCCAGAGCACCTCCACCGCCTGGATATGTATGGGGAGGTGGGGAACGGGCAAAGCAAAATTGAGGGAGCGGGCGAGGGTATGAGGGTAGTCAACGCAAAAAGCAGGTCCCGCTCTGTCAGAGCATCCTCCACGTCTTGGGGAATTTAGAGCGCCTTCACCGCCTAGCAGGGGAGAGGGGAGGAAGGCAGGAGGAAAGGGGGTGGGTGAGAAGGGGGTGAGGGGTTGCAAGTAGGAATATGGAACAGAGAGAGGGACATGGGGCAGCTCATGGCAGGCCAAGTGTGCGAGGGAGAGGGAGGGAGGAGATAGAATAAGGTCGTGTTCAGTGAGAGTGTCATTAAGGTGCTCTGTGGGACTATGGAGCATGCTATGCTGCCATGAGCATGACCTTGGCACCAGCGCGAAAGTGTCATCAAGGTGCCATGCTATGCTCTGCGAGACTATGGAGCATGCTGTGCTGCCATGAGCTGATTGACAGACCTGAAGCTCATCCAAACTCACCTGGAGCTGTTGACCCTCACATGAAGCTTATGGAAACACACCTGAAGCACATGGTAAGTCACCTGAAGCTCATGAAAACTCACCTGAAGCATATGGAAACTCACCTAAAGCACATGAAAACTCACCTGAAGCTCATGGAAACTCACCTGAAGCTCATGGAAACTCACCTGAAGCTCATAGAAACTCACCTGAAGCTCATCAGCAGGAATGGAGCCGAGGCGAGTCAAGGCTTCCCTCAGGTCACTCGCAGATTTGATCTCCGGCAACCGAAGCGTGCCCTCTGTTGCCGCCAGCACCGTCACCTGCACGTTTGTGCACACATGACGCGGGGTGAGGAAGAATGTAATTGGTTAACAAATGCCAGATTTAGTTATGGACAAATCGCAAGGGCCGAAGTGTGCCCTCTGTTGCTGCCAGCACCGTCACTTGTAAGACTTTGTACACGAGAGGCCATGTAAGGAAGAATGGGAATGGTTCGCACAAGTCAGAATTGGTAATGGGCAAACAAGGACAAGATGCGATCCCTGCTGCTGCCAACAATGCCAGGATATGAAGTAAGGGAGAGTGCAATTGGACATGCTGCCAAAGCTCATGTGAAAAACAGATCATCAAAGGGGAGAGTGCTATATGCTGCGTTACCACGTGTACACTCCGCTCCACTTACGACAATGTACACCCCATGAATCGTAGTGTATACTCAACTCACTAAACCACAATGTACTCGAAATTCAAATCAACACAACAAAGTGTACACTCCACAAACCGAGATGCACTCGGAGTTCATGCGGTCCTGGCTGAGCTTGCGCGTGATTCGCTGCCTGATACCGTCCATGTTGACAAGAGTTTCCTCCTTGACCTTTGAAGGACGAGGCCTTGTATACAGACAACATACCACCACCGCAATGCACACGCCTCTCAAATACCACCAACCTACCACAATGTACTCGGAGTTCATGCGGTCCTGGCTGGGATTCCGCGCGATTCGCCACCTGATGCCGTCCACATTCACCAGTGTCTCCTCCTTGAACTTTGAAGGAGGAGGCTCAGTGTACACACAACATACTACAACCATAATGTGCACCTCCTCTCAACATACCACGATGTACTCGGAATTAATGCGCTCCTGGCTGGGATTGTGCGTGATTCACCGCCTGATGCCGTCCACATTCACCAGAGTCTCCTCCTCGAACTTGCTTCGCTCCTCCATGCTCATCATGTTGAATGCTGCCTCTCCCGCGTATGAATCATTGTTCACCTCTGACTGTAGGGTTTGGGGAGGGTGGGGGGGGGGGGGGGGGGGGGGGGAAGAGATGGAAAGGGGAAAGGGAGGTTGAGCAAAACAAGGAGGGTGAGGGGAACAAGAGTCTCCTCCTTGAACTTGCTCCGCTCCTCCATGCTCATCCTGTTAAATGCGGCTTCTCCAGCATAAGAGTCGTTGTTGACCTCTGACTGAAGGGTTGGGAATGGTGGAAAGGAAAGTGTGAGAGGACGTCCCCGTTATAATATTTCTCATTATTATATTTTTCCTTTATCTTATTCTCCCTTTTATCCTCTTTATTTTGGTCTTTATCTCATCTCAATCGGCCTACTATTCTATTTTCTAGAGCCTTCTATTTATTTCTCTTATTTCCTACTTTTCCCACCGACATATCTATTATACGGCACCGACAGCGCCGACAGTGGTGTATACGGTATAATCTGGGCGTAATCCCAAGTGCCAATAGCCTTGCGTGCTTGTGCGCACTTGTGATTGTAGTATTGGGAAGGGCGTGTTCCCGAAGGTTCGTTTTATCTCGTTTATCCTTGTATTTTCCGAGTATAAAAACGCCTTGTATTCAGTTTTAGTGACAAGTTTCGTTTGAGAATTCGATCCTGTGACACTTGGTAATCAGAGCCGTTCTCACTCGACAACTCTCGGCTAAGCAGCGGTCGCGGAAAAAATCGCCTCCAAAAACCGCCGGGGGCGACCAATTCGACGCCGATTTCTGGTAAGCACCAGTTCCGCGCTTTTCGAATTAACCCCCTCGCGTGGTTTCTGAACAGGATGGGTTCGCCGGCGACCAACGACATTACGCAACAGCTCTTCGCGCAAATCGCCAAGATGGAAGCGGAGATGCGAGCGACGACTGAACGGTCGCGATTGGAGAACGAGCAGCTGCGAAATGAACTGCAGCGCGTTACGCAACTCCTCTCGACCATGAATATTCCTGCTTCGGCGACTTCGCAGCAGTCGCAGCGTCAGTTCGAGGTTCCGAAACTTCGCTCGCCGGAATCGTTTGACCCTAGCGACAGGAAATCCGACGTAAGGCGATGGCTCGCAACGATCGAAATTTATTTCGCGGCGATCGGATGGTCGACGACGGAGTACGACGGCGAAAAAATTCGTCTCGCGACAACGTTGATGCGCGGTCCAGCTCTCGAGTGGCTCGGAAGCAACAGTAGCATTTTCCAGGGCGAAGCCACGTGGCAGCAGTTCCGGGCAGACCTGCTCAAACGTTTTGAGCCAATTAATTCCACTTATATTGCGCGCAAAAAAATACATCACCATCGGCAATTCGGGAGTGTCGCGCAATACACGCAGCAGATGGAAGAATTTTATAATCGCATTCCCGACATTACCGAGGGCGAAAAAATTCAGTCCTACATCGCGGGGCTGAAAACCGACATTCGCCGCCAGGTTGCAGCAGCGAATTGCAGCAGCTACAGCGAAATCGTATCGGCCGCGGAGCGTTTTGACTTGGTCAATGCTGGAACACGACGACCCCATGTCGTCGGATCACGACAAGGAGATCGCTCGGCTTCAACCACGTTCGCCGACCCCATGGAAGTCGACAAATTCGACGCGAATTCACGACCTGCAAAAAACAAAACGTTTTGCGATTTTTGCGGCGGAAACGGACATCGGATTGTCGACTGTTTTCACATGAAATCTGCACGTGCGGCATTCCGAGCTCGTGGGAGTGGCGAAACTAAAGACAAAAGGTAAAAAAACGGATCTCGCCAGTGATTGCGGATCGTGCTGGCGAGGAAAAGCAGATCCGAAAGCGTCAGTGCAATCTTGACCAAATCGAAACTGAAGGACAGCATTGGGCGCGAGATTTGGAGAATCAGGGGCGAAATCCCAAGCCCCTTGACCGAAATTTGTCAGAGGGATTCGCCGAGGAAAAGAAAACCTTCGCGAAAAAAGACTCGACCATATCGGGAACTCTCAAAAACAGAATTCGTTAAAGTTATCTTTCAAAGATGCTTTAATGAAGACTGATGATTTTCGCGGGTCCGGAGCCATAAAAAAATTCCGGGAAGAACTCCAGAGGAAGCAGATAATTAAAGGAGTGGTACCGGTGCCTACGGAGCTGGGGAAAAAATTAAGGAGTGTGGAAAGGAGCAGGCCTTTTCACGTTGTCAACGTCTTCTCCCGGAACCAGCCCAAGACGACTCTCCACTCCCCAGGGAAGAAGTCTATGGAGCTGAAGCAGCTGAGGAGGCAGCTGGGAGTTGAAAAGAAGCTGCGAAAACTCCGAAAACCCCTCCAGGATGCATCCAGTGGATCGCAGGCGTCGACCGGATCCACCCCCTCAGGGTCAACCTGTACGGTTACTACCTCTACTCTTGGCGTTGGAGAGGAGCTTTTCTCCACGCAGCCCAGGCCAGCTGTTAGTCCAGGAGCAAACAGTGGAACCACGGTGTGTACTGAATATTGGGATGTACCCTATGATCCTATTAATGAGACTATTTTTGGGTACTCCGAGCAACGCTCACCACTCCTGCTCGAGGTGATCTGCAACGGACAGCGCCTCCAAGCACTCGTGGACAGCGGGGCGTCGCACAGCGTCTACGACAAGGAAACAATCGACCGACTCGGAGGAGAGCTCAAGTCCTCAAGCTTCTCGGCAACGATGGTGGACGGCAGTAAGCACCTATCTACGGGGAAACACGGTTACTACTCCAGATTGGACCCCTTCGATGGAAGCCTGCTCTCCCCGTCACAAATATTAAAGGACTCGACGTAATCTTCGGGAGAGACTTTCTGAAAAAATTCAACCCCGAGATCAACTGGGTTAACCGGACGGCCAACATCAACAACAACGGGAGGAAAATCAGCCTTCCCAAATGGGACGACACGGGAAATATTCCAGTCGAGACACTCGCACGCTTTGAAAAGGACGTCAAACGGACCACAGTGGGATTTATGGCGATAGTCAACGAAGCAGACAACGGAGAGAAGCAGACCCAAGAACTTCCTCCAGCAGTCAAGAAAATTCTTGAAGAGTTCCAGGACGTTCTCCCCGACGATTTACCTGATCAACTACCGCCATACCGAACACATCAGCACGAGATCGTAGAAGAGCCGGGGTCCAAGCCGACGTTCCGAGCACCATACCGGCTGAGCCCGACAGAGCTTGCTGATATGAAAAAACAAATAGAGTATCTCCTGGAGAAAGGGCTGATTCGACCTTCGACTTCGCCTTACGGAGCTCCAGTTCTCTTCACTCCGAAGCCGGACGGAAGTCTGCGAATGTGCATCGACTACCGAGCCTTGAACAAGCAGACTATAAAAAACAAATACCCGATACCACGGATCGACGACTTACTCGATCAACTTCGCGGTGCTACGGTATTCTCCAAGCTCGACCTCAGATCGGGATACTGGCAAATTCGTATGGCGGACAACTCTATCCACAAAACTGCCTTTTGAACTCGGTATGGGTCATACGAGTATCTCGTGATGCCGTTCGGACTCACTAACGCACCAGCCACATTTCAGGCGGAAATGAACCACATCCTTCGACCCCTTCTGGACGAGTGCGTGGTGGTATACTTGGACGACATCCTGATCTACTCGAAAGACATGAAGCAGCACGTTGAGCATTTGCGACGCGTCTTCGAAATTCTTCGACGAGAACGCTTCTACGTGAAACTATCGAAGAGCGAGTTTGCACTGAAGAAAGTCCAGTTCCTTGGACATATGGTGAGCGCTCAAGGAGTTCACGTGGATCCTAAGAAGATCGAAGCAGTGCGAATGTGGAAGACCCCTGAGAACGTGAAGGAGTTACAGCAGTTCCTTGGATTCGCTAACTACTACAACCGGTTCGTACCGAACTACGCCAAGATTGCCGCACCATTAACGAACCTGTTGAAGAAGAATACACCATATCAGTGGGAGGCGAAGCACCAGGATGTCGTGGAACAACTTAAAACCGCACTCACGTCCGCACCTGTCCTTATCCTGCCAGACCCTGAACTTGACTATGTCATCGAGGCCGATGCTAGCGATCAAGCAGTGGGCGCAGTACTCATGCAAGATCAAGGGAAAGGGCTGCAACCCATTGCATACCTCAGTAAAAAACTTCACGGGGCAGAACTCAATTACCCTATCCATGACAAAGAGGCCCTCGCCATCGTCAACGCATTCAAAGCATGGAGGTGTTATCTCGAAGGAAGAAAGACCACCGTCTACACCGACCACTGCAACCTCAAGTATCTGAAAATCCAACCAACACTCTCCAGGCGGCAGGTCCGGTGGATTGACTTTCTCGAAACCCACTTCCATTACGACATCGTGTATAAGCCGGGGCACAAGAACAAGGCAGACGCACTCAGTCGCCCTGCACACGTTGCCGCCCTACAAGTCGATGGCATGAACCCACTTTTGAAGGGACTCTTCACGCATGGATACACCATCGACCCCGAAGTCTCTGTAGCAGAAAAGCGCCATCTTCTACATTGGGTGTTAGAATTTATATGTAACTGCCTGTAGCTGTAGTTTAGTGTAGTTATTATAAACTGTTGGTGGTGCACCTTCTTTGCATGCTCTGTTTACTATATGTACCCTAGTGCTATAGTGAACATCACTTTTCCCATTCTCGACTCTCACCTTGGCACAACCTCCTCGACTTCCCCTAGGCCTAGGCTACTAAGCCTAGGCCCTACCTAAAACCTAAGCTTACTCTTACTTAGTAACTCAACATGGCATTAGAGCGAGTTACGTCCTGGCCTGTGGGCCCGCCTCACGCTTCCGCTGCTGTTTTTCCGGTCGCGCGCCTCGGGCGCGTGGCGATTTTCGTCCTGTCCCGCCCCCGGGTGGCGAGTGACATCTTTTCTGCCCGTCGCGCGTCCCGTGGCACGCGACGGTGCCCTGCCCGTCGTGCGCCCCGTGGCACGCGACGGTGCCCTGCCCGTCGTGCGCCCCGTGGCACGCGACGGTGCCCTAAACCTGCCCGTCGTGCGCCCCGTGGCACGCGACGGTGCCCTGCCCGTCATGCGCCCCGTGGCACGCCGTGGTGCGCGACGGTGCCCTGAGCCGCCGCGGAACCGCCCCTGGCGCCTGCGACGGTGTCCTGAGCCGCCGCGTACCCGCCCCTGGCGCACTCGGCGGTGCCCCTGCCTCACCCGCGCCTGCA